TTTCTTGAGAAGGCTGCCTTCTAGCTCCACAATGGCCTTTCTCCATATCCGATTTCTTTGAGTTCGCCTTCAGGGTCGGGCTTCTTTGGGAAGAAGCACTTAGGTGTCACGGCATCTACCATAAAAGCAAAAAGTACACCCATGAAGAAGAAATCAGTGACCATTAGCAGGCTGTTGGATCACACAAACAACAGACAATTCAATTGACTGACCAACTAATTCATTCAAAATCCTGCCCAGTCTAGTTCTACGTTCATCACTCGGTTGCTGTACCTTGCTGCCTTCGATTACTTCAGCGGCTTTTTTTCCATTGACGTATGAAGAAAGACTTCCGGGTATCTTCATGTCGTCCGTGGCCCATTTCGCAAACAGCGTGTTATTTGAATAAGTTTGAATCCAACCTTCAATGTCACCGCAGCTGACAGCTGTAGCATAGTAGGTGATCTGGTAACGCTGACAGACAACTGAAAACTGTTCAAAGAGGTTAGCAACGGTGGTCATACAATAATTAAACATGGAAGAAGATCACACCATAAAGAATGAATAAAGAGAAAGAAAAGATGGCAGAGTAAGTAAAGAACAACAAGATCAAGTGTAAAGAGAAAAGAATGAGAAACAATCAGACTTACATCATGATGAGCTTTTTTCAAGGCCGCTAATGAGTTCTTTTGAAGTGTAGCAATTGATTGCGTCGGTTCAGGCTTTCCGTGACAGATGTGAAGCTTCTCCACATCCACGAGCCTCTTGAAAATAGGCTCATACTTTGATTTCTCAGCCTCGGTGAGTGGATGGACCTGAGGTGCAACTGTTGAGCCATCTATATGAGTAAAGGTGGGATTATCCGTTGTCTTCAATATTGGAATCGTCATTTTCAGCAGGTAGATTTGATAGATCGGGTAGGTTGGCTAAAGCAAAGAAATACGGATTTCGAAATACGTCTTTTTCGTCATCGCTGAGGGCTTTCCAGAGATCTGCAACCTTGCGATTACGAGAGGCCCATCCAGTTGAGTCTGCTTTCTCGGGTACTGTGCGTTTTGATTAGTCAATCGCTACATAAAAAAACAAAAAGTAAATCTTGTAAATCACATACATGGTTCCTTTAAAGCCTCAACACCAAAAGCTAGGAATCGAATCCACGGATTGAAATGAGCTTTTTTAGATCCTTCACCCCTATATCACATCCGAAGAAATCCAAACAATGGCATAAGAACTTGAAGACATCTTTTGGATTGAAGTTGTAACATACACAAGGTTCCAGACCACCACCTCATGAAGACCTCCCATCAAAGCAGCCATGAGCATCTGCTTCTCGTAATTTAAGCGGATACTTTTGACCACCGCTCTAATCTCAGTTGGTGCCCTAGTTCCCTTTGGAGCTTGTTTTGCGTTTGCTTCACGGAGTCTAACCAAAGTCCACTCGTCGAGATGCTCGTGAAAGGTATCGAGGTCTAATCCTGGGAAGCGCGAGATAAAAGTCTTAGGTTGATTCAACTGTTGTTGTTTGTCATTGGTTGTTTGATCAGTGATATCTTGATTACGAGTCGTTTGCTCTTCAACACCGTTGTTTGAATTGGAGAGGTTACGAGTCACATCATCGTCATTCGTATTAGTGATGGTCTCATTGAGAGTACTGATATTGTTTGATGGGTTTGTCTTGGTACCTTGACGGCGGGACTTTGTGGTGGGGCGAGTTGCAGGTGCTTTGGGTGCTTTGCTGGCAGCCGTTCGTGTAGATCGGCTCGAGACTTGGTTAGATCGAGTGTTGCGAGTGTTTGCAGGCATTTTTCAAAAGACTGAGGAGGGGAAACCTGTATGTGGATTCTAAAAGTCGATGATACGTAAGGACAAGGCAAATTGTCGAATCAAAATTTGATGGAGGTTTCACTTTTGATTTAAAGATCAACTTGAATTAAAATTTGACGAGAACTATCTTTATGTACATACCTTGCTTTTCTCATTGTATTTAATTATGCATTTGATTTGAATCTGTCAAAGTGTCTGTATGTGACCTTTCCCAGCCTCAACGTGTCAGTTCATCTTGATTGACAGTCAACTTCTTTCATATACATAGTAAAATCATTTACCAATGAGTCAGGAAAGGTCAGGAAGCGGGGGAAGTAATGGCCAAGGTAATCGTAAAAAAGGTGAAAGAAGCAAAAAATGTGTTCAAAGCTTGGGTTTTTTTGTTGTAAAAGATTTGTAATATTCCTCTAGCAAAATAGATTCTGATTGTCCTCTTGAAATTTGTAAAAATGTAGATTGGTTCAGATTTGATTACAATTGTTGATTTGGAGATATTGAGGATCTCCTCAAAGCACTTGACAAGGGTCTTGATTATCTTGTTTACATTATTTTTATTTGATCAATATCAATCAATGATAATCGGTTATGAGGAGTCAATCAATGTATCAGTTAGATTTTGATAAGTGGATTCAAAAAAGCACCTTTCTATATATTTTTCAACCAGTGCCAACATACGAGATTCAGTAGGATTGAAATAAGATTGAGCTGTGTCTCTTGAAAATCAATAACAATTTCTTAATCTCTTAATATCAAGTGATTTGTTCGGAAGACTTTGCTGCAGAAGTTTATGTTGTGGCTGTTGTAGCCACATCTCATTCATTTGCTATAGTCTACAGCAGCGTGAATGCATGACCAAAGTTATGAAGAGAGATTAACATATGTATTCGAAGAAAAACTTGAAAGAAATAATGATCAAGCGGCATGAATGCATGACCAAAGTTATGAAGAGAGATTAACATATGTATTCGAAGAAAAACTCGAAAGAAATAATGAACAGCTTGGTTTGTTTGATTTGATGATCAGAGGGTCATTGAAATGCTCTGTGTTGATTATTCATGTTGTTTTTACTTCTATTGATATCTTATATCTTATCATCTCTCTCCATTTCTTGCTAGGAAAACATTGATTAGTCTTCATTAAATCCAGATGCAAGTAATCTGGCAAGTACAACATACTTATTGGACTCATCTTTACATTTTCATCGCTTGATTTGATAGAAATAACACAATGGAAAAGCTTCCTATCTTATCCAACAATACATAATAGAGATATTTGGAATATTTCTGACTGATAACTTGCATAAAGATATTGTTAGACTCACTGTTTGAGTGGTATTAAAAACAATACAGAACATCCAAGGGAAAACAAAGGAGAGGATCTCTTAGATAATCCCGAAGTTTGGAAAGAAATGCCCAAAAGGTATTATGGTTCATAAAACCTGTCTATGAACCAGGTGTTTTTATTGTTATTGTTAGATAAAGATAAAGAAGGAAAAGAGAAAATACCTGACTTTGCTGGAAATTGGTGAGGAAATCCAAAGAAACAGATTGATTGTTTTAATTTAATAGTTTCATAGAGTGAGGAGTGTAAGAGGCCCTAGTAAATCCATTTAAAATATGACTTGTTTTCTATGAACTGAGGCTGAGTGAATGGGGAAAAACCCCCGAAGTAATCAGGTTATTTTCCAGTCTCCCCGTATTCCGCTATCTGTGTTGTCCAACTTTCGTTGTCCTCTGTACAAACTCAATTCATCCTACTACTACTCTTTCATACGCCGTCTGACTTGGTATTACCTGGCGAAGCAATCAAAACTCGGTCCAAAAGAACCAAAGCCTCCAAACCACGCAATCAAGGTGCTGCTAGTCAGAGGCTCGCTGATGCTCAAAAGCGCGAGGAAGAAGCCGCAGAAGCTGCCCTATTGCGACTCCAGCAACCTCCACTTAATGCTGGAGAAGTGAACGCACAGCCAGTTGAACAGGAGCAGCCTCCAAGCCCCGACCGATACAAAGCGTTTCAAAGGGCTGACGGATTTGAAGCAGAGGACGATCCCCCCAATCCCCCTCCGGCTAATCGAAATGAATACTACAAAGGTTTCACATACCAGGAACGGATTTTGCGAGAAGAGGCCGCGTGGCAACTAGTGATACCCAAGCTCTTTGCAGCGTTCATGCCCTGTAGAAAAGAGACATATCAATGGGGTCATCCCACCCTATGGAACCACGACTGGAACCAGCCGTGTCGATGCCGTGAGTGGCAGAAGGAAGAAATACTTGTGGACGCTATTGATCTCACAGGTAAGATATTTTACACATATCAATTGAATCTAATTGATAGCTACCAATCAGCGCTTTGCATATTAATGGAACAATTGATTTTAAGGTCGACTTAAACTGAAAATGATCATTTGTAAATGTACTCCCGACATCGTACGTCTTGTTCGGATGGGATACATTGGAGGAACCCCAACCCGACCTTGTACAGCTTTCTCGTGTCGAATGTTACGATTCCATCACACGTTATGGAAGTATTCCAGTGTACGGTTGACCCCATTTGTGGAGGCGCTTGACGAGTTCCTAGATGCGTGTAACACACTGCTTTTGGTTCGAGACAGTGATCAGGTAAGATTCGATTTTGTGGAACTCTTAAGAACATCTAATAGTATTTGCGACTAAATTGTTTGATGAATTGGTAGGCTCGCGACTGGCGAAAAAGGTTCTCTGCAGCTGTTGATGCTTACAGAGAGATGATCCGACTAGAAGAAGGCCTCGCCACTCGAGCCCCTTCAATTATCACCGAATTGAAGAACTCGCCTTCGAATTTGCCCCCAGTTGTTTTGGGGCCTACGGTGCCAGGAACTCGAGAAAGACGAACCACATCATTTACATATGTTTAGATGCAAATTTTCCAGCAGTGTCGTCCCCCTATCTGCAAGTGCTTTATGGGCGAGGTGAAAACCGGGGGTGTTACCCTTTTTTTTTTCATTCTCACCAGCAGAAGTGCCGTATGGAAAGAAAAGATGGATCCTCCGGACTAGACAGCCCAATCAACCTAATCAACGAGTTGAAGATGTTATTGTGAGTACTGATCTTTGCATACATACACTTTCATAACATATATTCATCTTCGATTCAACTTTAGGACCCTTGCAGCAGCAGCCATACTACTGCCAACGATACGCGGGGACACCAAACATGGCGTGGGTGTGATGAAACCGGGTTGATGGGGATGGCGTGTCGTCACGATCACCTCCTCAAATTTATCAACTTGGTACAGTCGGGAGAACGGTTAAGTCCAGATATCCAGCTTTCCTTTTTTTATCTATGCTGATACAGTCATTGCTTTAGGGGATACTATCCTGTGGCAATGTTGGACTGGATACTCCGCAAAACCACGAGGCCTAACCAAGAAGCTCCAAGGTTTGGTATCTTGTACGATATAGGATGCAACATGGAAAAGAGTATCATCAAGGTAGGTGAATGAATCTCGACCAGAATGAAACCAGTTGACATTTGATTGACCAAGTCTGTACCATTGAAAAAATACAGCGTAATCTATTTGAAAATGAAAGAGCAGCTGGGAAACTAAAGTTTGGAACCAGTGTGTTCCATTCTTATGTTCATCAGTGGGCTTGCCAACTGAAATACAATCCCAGGCTGAATGAAGGCTGGGGTCTTTTGGATGGTGAGGGTTTGGAGCGGATTTGGTCTGACCTTTCCTCACTAGTATCAGGTCTGAGGTATTCTACTAAAACACACCGGCTTTGCGCATTGCAACTTCGAGCCCGCCACACTAATATTATGAAACGAAAGAACTCTGGTATGATTTTCATTGCTGATTTCAATAAAATTTAAAACTGTTTAGAAGGGCTGTGTCTTATATTGAATCCAACATGCATGGTTCAATGGTTGGTCAAAAGACTAAAAACGAGCGACAAACTACATCGTGAAAGTCAAACAAAGTTGAGTCTATTGAGGAACAAAAACGCGAGATACACCGAAGAGTATCTGAAAACGCAATGGAACCGTCAACGCGAATCTCAATTAAGAGCAACCAATGCAGACTCACAATCTTTGGTCAACATGGTGTCTCGCTTGGTTGATCTGGAAGAAGACCTTCAAAAGGCCGAGTTAAGCGGCAGTCATAATAGAACCACATTTGAAACTACTTACTGACGACAGCTTCTTCTGGATTTTCAGGAACGAACTTCAAAAAATTCGTGCAAAACAGCATCGTAATCGTACAGCCTCGGAGAAACGAAAATTAACTCATCTGCCTGTGACTGTACAGATCATCGAAGAAGAGATCAATGAACTGGCAGGAGAGCTTGGTGGGGAACATTATCGAGACATAACTGGCGCAAGAAGTACTGTTTGCTCTCTCATTATCCCACAATTGAACAAAACTCAAAATGAAAGATGTCTTCATTGCAGCTCCAAAGGGGCGTAGGCTAATCAGAATACGAGTGGGGAAGTCTAAGCTGTATGGTGCTATGGTGGACGTATATGAAATGCAAATTAGGAATGATGAACGCACAGGTACATATATTTCAAAGTTGTAATCAATCATCGCATCTTATGATGCTCATCATCGTTTATCTACCCAATAGGAACTCGAATGCAACAAAGAACTAAAAAGCTATTGAGAGATAAACAAGCCGCTTTGAAAACAAAATACACTACATACAAGAACAATGTTGATAAATTCAATGCTGAATTTCCTTCCCGACAACCAATCCCATGCCCACCCTTTGAAGATATAAAAAATATGTCATTGGCGGACCCGTTTTGGGACATTGGTCAGCTGACTCATCCTAATGAACCTTGGGCCGTGGATCGAGATACACGGGATGGCATTCGGGCGTACCTAGACATGACGCATGCACATGATGAAGTTTGTCGTGTTGGGCGAGAGCTTAGGCAGTCGATCAACTGGGCATTACAAATGCAAGAGAAGCTGTCAATTTTGGAAACCGCCCTAAC